TAAAATCTAAAAGAAAGGAATATGTCAATCGGGAAAACTTAATGGTTAAATCCAAGTTTAATCCAAAGATTGGTAACTCTAATAAAAAGATAGGATACAAGGAGAAGGAAAATTTTAGAGGTAAAATGAACGATAAAAAATGTTTTTACTGTCAAGAAGGCCATTTTATCAAAGATCTTTCCAAGAGAACTTAATGTTATGAAAAATAAGTTTAAAATTGATAGTGGTGCGGTATTAGCCTATAGAAAAATGCTAATATTGATAAAGTTTATGTTGATGTAAACTATTAAACTGGTCAAGAATGAATTATTGACTCGGGTTATACATTTCACGTGTCCTAACGGAGAATGGTTCACTGATCTTAAAAATGTAAATATGGGTAAATTTTTAATGGATAATCATATAACATGTCAAGTTTAAGGGAATATGAACTACCATTTTAAGAGTTAAGGGAAAAATACTAGGCATGTTCCTGAGAAAAAGAAATATTATTTCTATAGAGATCTTAGATGACTTAAACTATGACATAATGATCAATAAGGAATACATTAAAAATCTTAAGGGACTCACAATTGTTCATTGAAGCTCCCAAGAGACAACTTTCACATTTTGCAAATTGAAAACCTCTTTGAATTCACTTTAGCAGCAATCTCTGCTCAAAATATATAGCATAAAAGATTGGGTCGTATTAGTGTCAAAGGATTACAGGTTTTGAAAAAACAAAGTGCCTTTGGAAACTATAATTTTGAGATTAGGAAAATATAACAGACTATCATTTTTATTAGGAAAGCATAAATCTGTGTCTATACTTGAATATTTACATGATGATCTTTGTTGACAAGCCATTGTTTAAACTCATACTAGTTGTAGATACGTTCTTTTAATCATTGATGATTTTTTCAGAAAAAATTGGAGTTCCTTTTAAAATCAAAGTCTAACACTGTCAATATTTTCAAAGAATGAAAAACTTTAATGGAAAATCAAACTGATAAAAGATTAAAGTATTAGGAACTAATAATGGTTTAGAATTCTGTAATTTTGAATTTGATGAGTTGTGCAAACTGTCTGGTATCTTAAGATATAGAACTGTGACAAATATTCCACAAGAAAATGGTTTGATTGAAAGAATGATTCGAACTATCCTTAACAAAGTAAGATGCACGCTTTTATGTTCTGGCTCTCCCAAGTTATTATGGGGAGAAGTTGCTAAAACTGTTATTTATCTGGTTAACAGAAGCCATATTAGTGCTGTACACTTTAAAACTCAAAAAAAGACACGGAATGAAAAACTCATTGATTTCAATAATCTGAAAAATCTTTGGATGTGCAGTTTTTGCACATCTGTATAAAGGAATATTAGAGCCTAGGGTGTGTTTTCCTAGGTTATAGTAAAGGTGTGGAGTATAGATTATGGGTAAGACAAACCAAATTATATAAGATCATAATAAGCAGAAATGTTGTATTTAATGAGGATGATCTTTCTTGTCTTAAGAATGAGAAGAAATTATAACCCTTGAGTCAGATTGAAAATCTAGAGAAAGTAATTGAAATTGAGGTGGAGCATACTAATGATGAAACCCATCAAATTGATGCTCAGATCATTGACAGAAATGAGGAAACTCAGATAACGGAACTTTTGATGAACCGGAAGCTGATTTGGAAACAAATCAACCTTTGAATGGTTATCAACTTACTTGAGACAACCAAAGAAGACAATTAAGACCTGTGTTAGGGTTTGATGAAGATGTTTCATTTTTAACCTTTCAAAGGATGATTGAAAATGAACATGATTCTTTTGAAGATGTATGAGTAGCAAAGTTTCTAACCACTAGCTTGCAATACTTCGAGATGAAATGTATTCTCTTAAGAAGAATAAAACATGTGTTCTGATTAAAAGACCTGAGGGTGAACAGGTTGTTGACTATAAATAGATTTTTAAAATTAAAAAAAGAGAATAAAATGAGAATGACATCAGATACAAAGCTAGACTTGTTGTTAATGGCTTTACTAAAAAAGGATGGAATAGATTTCAATGAAATTTTTTCTCCAGTTGAAAATTTACAACCGTAAGAGTAATCCTAGCTTTAGCTACACAGTTTAACTGGGAATTGGATCGATTAGATGTCAAAATAGCTTTTTTAAATGGTGATCTTGTTGAAATCATTTACCTGGAACAACCAAAAGGTTTTGAAATAAATAAGAAATCTGGCTTAGTATGCCTTCTTAAAAAATCTCTAAATAGCTTAAAACAAGCTCTAAATTTGACACTTTTGTACTTAGACTTAGTTTTAAGTGAAATAATTTTGATACCTCTTGCAAATCAAGTGGTAGAGAAGATTTACCATATCTACTTCTTTATGTAGATGACATACTTTTGCATAAAAGAAATAAAATTGATTAAGAACAAATGAAAAACTGATCTTTAAATGAAGGACTTAGGTCTTATCAAAAAAATCTTAGGTATTGAAATTAAGAGAAATAGAAGAACAAGCATATTAAATCTAAGTGAGAAATCATATATGCTGAAACTGTTTGAAAAGTTTGCTATGTTTGATTTTAAAAATATCGGTTTGCCTTTTGCAAATTATTTCAAACATTCAAATGAACAATGTCCTAAATCCAAAGAAAAGTTTGAGAGAATGGAAAAATTGCCATACTCTAAAGCATCTGGGTTTGTAATGTACTTGATGGTCTGCTCAAAACTTGATTTAAAATATTCTATAAGTGTTTAAAGTAGATGTATGACAAATATGGGAGAAGCTCATTGGGAAGCTATGAAATGATTTCTCGGATATATTAAGGGTACTTCTGATTTCGGAATTCAATTTAGAAAACAATATGATGGTGTTGTATTGAGAGGATATACTGATTCTTACTATATAGGTGAAAGGGATAATAGAAAATTCACTTCTATTTATATGCATTCTCTGTGCAATTCTTGTATAAGTTGGAAATCCCAACTTTGAAAGATTATTGTTTTTTCATCTTTTAGGGTAGAATATATAGCTGCCACAAATGTTATAAAAGAAAGCATATGGTTGAAAGGCTTATTACAAGAATTTGATTTTATTAAAGACGTTATCCTTTATTCTAATAGTCAATATGCTATACACTTTAGTAGAAACTCTGTTGTACATAATAGATCTAAACATGTTGAAGTTAGATTTTACTTTATTAGAGACGTTGTTTCACAAGATGTTGTAAAACTTGAAAAAATTTCTACTTAGTTTAATCTTGCTGATGTGGGTACTAAGGTGTCTTTAAACAAATTTCTGGATTGTTTAAGTCAACTAAACATAAATTCTTGTTGATGTGTATATCAAGTAAGAGAGAAAATAATGTCATGTTTGGAGATACTGCTTCATAAGACCTGGAACCATTGTACCGAGGTGGAGATAGTGAGGATGTGGACAATGATGGGCAAAAGATGCTAACTAGAATTAATTGTTTGACATTGACTTGGTTAAATTGAGATTGATCAAAGGTGTGTTTTAAAATTGGCTAATTTGATTTGGTTGAAAATCAGGTTTGGAACCATCGGGTTGTTTGACCTTCTGCTGCTTCTATACCTTTCATCTTCCTCGAGGTTGATTTTCATTCAATTGGCTTTTTTGGCTTTCTGAGTTTTTCATCACCCTCTCTCAAGAAATTGAAAGATCTTCAATACTTCAAAATTTCTTAATGTTTTTACTTTTTTGAGTAAAATCTAAATCATTAATTATCTATGACGTTCTTGAGTGAACTGTAATTATGATGAGAGACTAATATCTATAATCTTAAGTGATTCTATTTGAGTGCTCAAAGGCTGTATCTTGGATGTTTTGGTTCGGGTTTAATTGTAATGGTTTTCTTCCAATGACGGAAAGCTCAAAAGGAGATTAGGAGTTTGGCTCTGAACCTCTTGCTTTATGATGAAAATTTTTATGTTCATTTTTACTTCACTTTATATTTTGCAATTTCAATTTGTAAAATCGCCTAACTTTTTGAACCTAATCATAACATATAGAAAACAAAAGATGACCAAAGA